GGGGGGGGGGGGGGGGGGGGGGGGGGGGGGGGGGGGGGGGGGGGGGGGGGGGGGGGGGGGGGGGGGGGGGGGGGGGGAAGGGGGAGGGGGGGCAGGGGAAGGTGGTGGACGACAGGGGAAGGCAGGGGAAGATGGGGTAGGGGAGGGGAGGGGAGGGGAGGGAAGGCGAGGGGAAGGCAGGAGAGGGAGGGGAGGCCAAGGGAGGGCAGGGCAGGGCAAGGAAGGGGCTAGGGTGGGGTAGTTTAGGGGTGGGGTAGGCTAGGCTAGGGTAGGATAGGGTAGGATAGGATAGTGTAGGGTGGGGTGGGGTAGGGTTGGGTAGGGTAGGGTCACATGAGCATATCTTGCTGGCCTCTTACTTCTCATAAAACAAATGATCGACTAGCTAAGTCGGTGAAGGATGAATTTGAACCATCAATCATGGATTTGCAGTCCAATACATTCCCTTTATTTATGGTAGTCGGCCTTTGATACGATTCATGGAAAAAGAAAGGTGCATAGCAATGTGTTTTGAACTGTTTTCCTTTTTCTCTTTTTTTCTTGTTTTTCAATTTTGACGGTCCGTGGCATTCCCGTGGGATTCACACTAGTTTTGAAACTTCCTCTCTCTTCAGAAATCTTCACCCTTCAGAGTCTTTTCAGATGATCCATGTTGATGATGGGAACCTGTGGACAGAAAGCTTGTCCTTTCTCATTGTCTGCAGCACACCTGCAGCTGGTGCATGTTGTATGGGCACCTCAGGACTTTACCACTGAGAAATTGATGATGCAGATTGAGTGAGCGGAATTCTGAGCACGGGATGATCCAGATTAGTAATTAGTACTAATTACGTAAAAAAAGAATGGGAAAAAAAAAGAAGATAAGTAACTAAGTAATATGTGACGTCTGCAGCATTATCTGTCTCAAAGAAGGAAAACGAGTATGAAATTACTATGAAATTACTATGAACTTACTATGAACTTACTATGAAAGGTTACTATGAAATTACTATGAATACAATGAGACATGGTTATGATCCACATGTCCGAACCGCAGCATGAACGGTCTGGGTCTGGATGTCAGGGTCCGGTGTCCGGTCCAGAGCGACCGGATTCCCACCCCACCTCCCCGGGAAAAAAAATCCGACTTAAAAAATAAATTAATAATTAAAAAAAATCTGAAAACAAGATATGTTATGCAGCATTGCAATACAAAAGTCTATTGGCTGAGGATCATCTCGGCCTTTTTTTTTTTTTTAAAGGGGTGCGCCGATGCAGGTCAGTCCGGACGGTCCGGATCAGTCCAGACAGAGGTCCAGCCGGACGTCTGGATTTGTGTGGCGTCCGGGTCCGGGACAACCATGCTATGAAACGGAAACCACTGACAGACATGTAATTTACTAATTGCCAATCTGCCACTCAAGTCTCAAACACAGTACTCAGGAAAATGCACCCTAACCACTTGTGTAAAAAAAAAAAAGAGAGAAACGTTAAGGAACATGCATACCTCGAAAGGTCTCAGGATTCCCGGCAAAAAAAAGAAAAAAGGTCTCAGGATGGAGAAGGTTTGGGTGTACCCAACAAATCACCAATCTACCCCTCAATTTCCAGGTGCAGGTAGTCAGAGCAAAGATGAGAACCGTCAAATTAAATGACCAGGAATGATTAAAAGTTCACTGGATTAAAAACTAGGCTACGAGCCGGGCCGCGCGGGCTGCCTTGTTTTCCCGGGTGGCCCGGCCGTGCAAGGACCTGGGAAGGTCCCAGCAAAAAATAAATAAATTTAAAAAATGATAAAATCCAAAAAATCCGAAAAAAAACAACAACGTAACGGAAAAAGAGTAACTGAACAACTTTTGCCTCAGGGTCACATCGAAATTCTTTACCAATTTTAAAATAAAATAAAATATTATTATTATTAGTATTGAAACGGTTTTCACCTCTTAGCAGTAGCGGATGCAGTACCCAGGGTTCGATCCCTAGACCTCACCCTACCTATGTACAGTATCTGTATAGATCCCGAGAGTTGAACCTCTGACCTGTGTATTCGTAGACAGTTGGTAGGTCTGTCATAGGTCCGTAGGTAGCAGGGGTTCGATCTGTAGATCTATAGGGTAGGAGTCTTAGTGAGTTCCAGAAGCCTAGCTGTAGTCCTTCTAGAAGGTCGGCAAGTGGTCAAGTGGTCAAGTGGCGAGGCAAGTGGTGGACTAAACCGCAGTGCAACAGCAGTAGAACGTCGGTAGGGTAGCGGCGAGTCCACAGTCAGTTAGCGGAAGGTCCAGTCAGTCCCAGTCCGGTCCAGCAAGTACCACGGGGGGGGACTGTGAGCACCATGGGCCGATGGCAAAGGGCAGACCAACGAGTTTCTGAAGTATAAATCAAGAGGCAGAGCCCAGCCATTCATTCATTCCTGCGTGAGCCATGCGGAAGCGCTGCCACAGCGACTTGTGCAAGGAGG